ATTACAGTGACCTTTATTGAAGACATACGAGATAACCAATATACACTCATGGACAAAACATAAGGAAGTTGTACCTTTCAGCATGTATATCGGGATTCAGACAATAACTCTGAAATATATTACAGTAATCTTTATTGAAGACACACGAGATAACCAATATACACTCATGGACAAAACTTAAGGAAGTTGTAACTTTTAACATGTATATCGGTATTCAGACAATAACTCTGAAAAATATTACAGTAATTTTTATTGAAGACACACGAGATAACCAATATACACTCATGGACAAAACTTAAGGAAGTTGTAACTTTTAACATGTATATCGGGATTCAGACAATAACTCTGAAAGATATTACAGTGAACTTTATTGAAGACACACGAGATAACCAAATGTGAACAACCTCTGTCTCCTTTAAAAAAAAATATATATATATACGACCGGCGATATCAAAAATTTACCACTTACTTAAGTCCATGATTACATATATAAAAACAAACGCTATTCAGAGTAATTTGTTTAGTTTTTCCGAATTAAGTAATTTTACCACTGTCTTACATCAATGAGAAATATATTGGGAGGGCTGAGCAGCGGATTCGCCAGTTTAGCATATCAGTTATATCATAAATATGAGGATTAGGTAGAAAAATTGAAAAAAAGGCGATTTTTACGACATCAAATCGAATTGTGGGAACTTTATTTTTCTGATAGAAAAAAATAAACAATTGTGTTTCAATAGCCCTCGAATTTTGCAAAGGTCCAACCCCACTAGTTTTTTTTTCTTATCCTTAGTACACGTGGTACAGGCCATGATAATCATGGTGGGTAGTTAGAGACTGCTTTTACTGTAAGCGCACCACATGTCTACATATGTGAAAAGCAGTTCGACTTTGCACTTACAAATGTGCCAGAGCCCCGTTTTGGTTATTTGCACTCGCTGGTGGGGTTGGACTTTTGCAAGAATCGGGGGCCTTTGGAGCATTTTATTTTTTGAATAGAAAAAAGTGTCCAATGCGGGAATCGAACCCGGGTCGTAGTGGTCGAAAACCAAACAGTTTAACCAGTCATTCACCGACCCCCTACCCCACTAGAGAATACAAGTAACCAAACGGAGATCTGGCATACTTATGTGTAACAAAAAATAAGTCGAAATTACTTTCTAAATGTATAGACATGTGGTAGGATTACAGTAAGTCGTTAACTACCCACCATGATTATCATGGCCAACACGACGTGTACTATGGATAGGTATAAAGAAACTATAGGACAAGAAACAAAAGTCAGGGAGAAGAGCTTCTTTTATATATGAGAATGATTGTACAAGCTCCAGAAAGCTGAGCCAAAGGAAAGAACAAATGTCAGTATTTGACGCTAATGCTTTGGCAAAATACAAGATAATCAAACAAAAAAAATAAGAAAAGATCAAATATGTGAAATAAACTCTGAGAGAAAACTGACAAAATCTATAACAAGACTTAAAACAAAACACTATAAAGGAATGGCAATACATTCAGATGGCACAAGAACCTATAGGACATGTAACAATTGTCCTGGTGTGGATCTAACACCTACCCACATATTCTTATGCCCAGCAATGGCCGCAGCCTTGCAGAAAATTGACATGGACCCAGAGCAGCAGCTTTACACATCCAAGATAGTGGACATTGCTGCTGCTGTGATAGAGATGTATGGGGAGATCTGAGGCTCTTCATTGGACACGACAACAACAACAATACAGTATACACACCCAAGATTGAGAATGACTGCTGTGATAGAGATGTGTGGAGACATCTGAGGCTCTTCATTGGACACCACAACAACAATACAGTATACACACTTAAGATAGAGAACAACTGCTGTGATAGAGATGTAGGGAGACATCAGTGGCTCTTCATTGGACACGACAACAAAAACAATACAGTATATACACCCAAGATAGAGAACGACTGCTGTGATAGAGATGTACGGAGACATCTGAGGCTCTTTATTGGACACGACAACAACAACAATACAGTATACACACCCAAGATAGAGAACGACTGCTGTGATAGAGATGTACGGAGACATCTGAGGCTCTTTATTGGACACGACAACAACAACAATTCAGTATACACACCCAAGATAGAGAACAACTGCTGTGATAGAGATGTACGGAGACATCTGAGGCTCTTTATTGGACACGACAACAACAACAATACAGTATACACACCCTAGATAGAGAACGACTGCTGTGATAGAGATGTACGGAGACATCTGAGTCTTCCTTGGACACAACAACAATACAGTATACACACCCAAGATAGAGAACCACTGCTGTGATAGAGATGTACGGAGACATCTGAGGCTCTTCATTGGACACGACAACAACAACAATACAGTATACACACCCAAGATAGAGAACGACTGCTATGGTAGAGATGTACGGAGACATCTGAGGCTCTTCATTGGACACGACAACAACAACAATACAGTATACACACCCAAGATAGAGAACGACTGCTGTGATAGAGATGTACGGAGACATCTGAGGCTCTTCATTGGACACGACAACAACAACAATACAGTCACACCCAAGATAGAGAACGACTGCTGTGATAGAGAGGTACGGAGACATCTGAGGCTCTTCATTGGACACAACAACAACAATGAGGTTGGAATCTGAGAAATGGTATTTGAGTAAACTATGGAAATAAGCCTTTAGGACAGCAGAATTACATATAAATATTTGCATCAAGCAATGCTCTTCTGCAAATAATAAGTACAAAGCCAGTTAGGCATAAATCAACTATAAGGTGATAACGTTGTTGTTGACGTGTCCAATGAAGAGACTCAGATGTCTCCATGCATGTCCATCACAGCAGCAGCAATGTCCACCTTTTGGGTGTGTAAAGCTGCTGCTCTGGGTTCATGTCAATTTTCTTCAAGGCTGCGGCCATTGCTGAGCATGAGAATATGTGGGTAGGTATTAGTTCCACACCAGGACAGTTGTTGCATGTCCTATAGGTTCTTGTGCCATCTGGATGTATTGTCATTCCTTTATAGTGTTTTGTTCTAAGTCTTGTTATAGTTTTTGTCATTTTTCTCTAATTGATCTTTTAGGTGATAACCTGTCATATATATATAGGAAAAAGAAGCATTAAAACACGAATTATTCACATGAAATCAACTTCTACTGTCCTTACTTAGATGAAAATATAAAGCTATAGATTTGATTGAAGGGAAGAATAAAAGTTAGAGTACATGTGACAGGTAAGACGTAGGTATGGAATCAACCTGTATCACCCATTGGTTGATGGATTGCTGCCGAAACGGCCCATTTTTCTCCTATCTGGCAGACCGTTAAATAGAATTGGGGGCAGAATTCAATTACTTCTGGGTTTATCAAGATGTAGAGTTCACTGACCAATAGCTATCCATTCAATACAATATCCCTCCACAATACAGCTTAAAACATCTCAATAAAGGAAAACATGGGGGATTTTGATTTTCTACATATTTACATATTGTTTCTTGGTCGTTTCTTTAGTGTTATAGACTTTCTGGTTAATATGTAATGATCGGGAATAAAGTTATCTACATGCATGGACAAAAACTAAGGAAGTGGAAAGTCTTTGATGTTGCTGGTTGTCTTTTTTTTTTTTTTTAAAGATGACAAAGACAATTTTAAGAAAAAACTGTATATCCTGATTGTGCAACTGAAAGTTTCTGATGGCTTGCGCCATCTGTCGGAATATATGTAATCAAATAGTTAATTTTAATTATTACAGAATCGGTTTATTCCGACAGATGGCGCAAGCCATCAGCAAATTTTAGTTGCACGATCAGGAGATGCTTTTATCTTAATTTGTTCACATTATCCGAGTACAATTTCACTTGTGTACTATTTTATCACAAAGGAAATGTTGTTCACAATCAGCAATCTCGTGTGTCTTCAATAAAGGTCACTGTAATATCTTTCAGAGTTATTCTCTCAATCCCGATATACATGCTAAAAGGTACAACTTCCTTAAGTTTTGTCAATGAGTGTATATTGTTTATCTCGTGTGTCTTCACTAAAGGTCACTGTAATATCTTTCAGAGTTATTGTCTCAATCCCGATATACATGGTAAAAGGTACAACTTCCTTATGTTTTGTCCATGAGTGTATATGACAGTGATTAGCAATCCTTATATACCTATAGTAGTGTCTTGAATCTATCTTTAAACGTTCGTCGCATTTATATAAATTAGTAAACAATACATATCGCCATCTATCGGGTAATAATATAATTACTCAGTGCTTTTTATACTTATATACAAAGTAATTTATAATACAATATAATGCGGCTTATGATTGGAAAACGACATTTGAAAATTATCCCGCATGTGTTTCTTTTGAACGAAAAATCAAAATTTATTTTTAAAGAGAAATAACGATTATTTATAACCTTAGGAATGAGGTATGAAAGGATGAATTGTGAAGAGTAATGATAAACGTAAAAACAAGTGTCCTGGGATGGGAATCGTACCCACAGTGTTCCGCTTACTGAGCAGATGCCATGTCCACTAGGTTACCCTGGACATATTTTTTCCGTTCGTAAATAATATATAAAGTATACGTGGTAAAAGCCTTATGATAATCATGGCTTTTACTGTAAATACACCACATATCTACATATGTAGAAAAGAGTTCAAAATTTTGCTCTTAAAAGTATGCTATAGCCCCGTTTGGTTACTTTGCCCTTACTGGTGAGTTTGGACTTTTGCAAGTATTGGAATCTATTGAAGCAATTATTTTATTTCTATAGAGAATAAAAAATCAAATACGGGATTCGTTCCTGGTTCGTGGCTGTCGGAATTCGATGTTTTGTATACCAGTCTTTCACTAGCTCCCTATGCTATCCCTATATATAGTCACGACCGTCTTTCCACATCGGCCTCTGTCACGGATGCGCGCGCACAGGGAGGTCACGTGCTCGCCGGCAGCCAATTAAAAAAAAAAAAAAAAAAAAAAAAAAAACTCACTCGAGCCGGATTTGAACCAGCGACCTAAGGATCACCGTTGTAACATCTACAGTCTTCCGCTCTGTCAACTGAGCTATCGATGGATACAAACTGTATGAATAAGTTTACCTTATAAAGTTAACTAATCCTATTTCTACACAAAATGTACTCATACATATATTATATTATTATTATTATTATATTATTATATATATATAGTCACGACCGTCTTTCCTCATCGGCCTCTGTCACGGATGCGCGCGCACAGGGAGGTCACGTGCTCGCCGGCTCCCTCGAGCCGGATTGAACCAGCGACCTAAGGATCACCGTTGTAACATCTACAGTCGGGTAAAACACGGGCGTTGCCCGGGTCATTCGGCTAGTTTAATAATATAGGGGAAATATTCTACAATTCGAATCTGTAGGTGTGAATTACAAAATCAACTCTCCATAATATCTTTAAAACACCATCACTAAGATTCAACCCTTCAATTACAGACACTATATAAGCAAAATAAACAATGCCAACACTGGCCTTGTCCTTATTGTTGGTGGAAGAGCATCTCAAGCCCTACAGACTTTATACCCTAATATGATTGAGTGAAGATACGAAAAAAAAAAGAATTTACTAATTATGTCAATTCATTCTGTATAATTAAAATAAATACCCCCCGATTAATGGTAAAAGGTACAACTTCCTTAAGTTTTGTCCATGAGTATATATTGGTTATCTCGTATGTCTTCAATAAAGGTCACTGTAATATCTTTCAGAGTTATTGTCTGAATCCCGATATACATGTTGAAAGTTACAACTTCCTTAAGTTTTGTCCATGAGTGTATATGACAGTGATGGCATCTGCCCAGTAAGCGGAACACTGTGGGTTCGATTCCCATCCCTGGACACTTTTATTTTTTCGTTTATCATTACTCTTCACAATTCATCCTTTCATACCTCATCCCTAAGGTTAGAAATAATCTTTATTTCTATATTATCTTGATAACTGGCTCATCAGTGTCCAACCCTACCTGCGGTTTCGCCAGTTTAATCTAAAATACCGCTAGGACATTTCAATTTTTTTTTCTCATCGCAGAAATGACAGTAGACAATATTGATTTAAAAAAAGAAAAAAAATCCATGTTTAATACAACTTGTAGTTTAATTTTACACATATAGATGGCGTGTTTTTGTCTTACATTTAATTATCCAAATGTCATTATTATATATGAGAGAGATATGTAAATGTACTGTAGATATGCAAATATTACTTTAGAGTTCATTGTTCTAGACAAAAGACTCCTCGTAATGGCTTAATAAAAAAAGAGGTACAAAAACAACCTGTCTAAGGAACAATGCTTCCATCTCATCAAACACAAATCCACACATAATAAACCATCTCCGTAGATTCTAATGATAAAAACACAAAACAAAATTAATATCTAAACCTCACAAAGTAATTTTCTTTGGTTTGTAGGGATCATTGGGTTTAAAAAAAAAAAAAAAAGAAGAAATATTTTTAACCCAATTCGGCGTGCAAGATTGTAACCCTGCAAATAACAAAAAAAAAACTGCCTATTGTTTGGGGAGAAATGTTTCAAATATTCCATTTTACCCATTGTTCCTGTTGAAATGGGACACAAAAGGAAAGAGTAATTCGGATAGGTTTAATCAATTCTATAATGTCAGACGAACCTTTTTTTAAAAAAAAGCACTGTCCACCATTTTGATTCTTTTTCTTCGTCTGTAAATCTTTTTGTTTAGGGATTTTTAGTAATTTTATGTTTGAATATTTCGGAAATCTGTAAAAGAAAATCATTTTACTGTTCATTTTCTATTATTATTTTTTTTATGGAGATTAAAAAGAGATATAGGTAATGATATATAACGAAAATCGAATAAAAATTTTGTATATTTTGGATTGAGTTGCGTTTTATATGATCTTTGTTATGTAGGTTCACCTTTTAGGCGTTTTGCCTGAGCGAAACATTGGGGTTTGTACTCCTACAGTTTTGTGCCACCCTGAACTGAGAAAGGAAAACGCAGGCTGATAAAAAAAGCAACACTTATTCGAACTGGAGCAGCTTAAAAACTAATACAGTAGAACCTCCCTATAAAGGACAACACTTAATTGCAGAGCCAAAGTGTCCTTTAGAGAGAGGTGTCCTCTTACTGGAGAGTTGTAAAATAGTAAAAATGGTAATTTTGCAAATGAAAACTGTCCTTTGTAGGGAGGTTTCCTCTAGCGTGAGTGTCCTCTCATGGAGATTCTACTGTATATAAATCCAATTAGAATTTTAATTAAGAAAAATTTTCACTTTTTAATTTCGTGCTTAACTCCTTGAGGGAGGGATGTAGATTTTAAACAAATATTTGCATACAATCTTCCAAATTACCAAAACTTTCGAAAACATATTTATCACAAAATTTTCATAGTGACCATTTTATATAAAGGAAGAATAAAAAGAAAATATAAAATTTGAGATGATATATATGCTTTATAGGCGTTTTCATCATAAAAATATTCATCTATTATTTTTATTATCCCTAGTACACGTGGTACAAGCCATGATAATCATGGTGGATATAAGTTGGCGACTACTTTCACTGTAAGTGCACCACATGTCTACACAAGTGAAAAGCAATTGGACTTAGCCCTTGCAAATGTGCCAGAGCCCCGTTTGGTTACCCGCATTCGCTGGTTGAGTTGGAATTTTGCAAGAATTGAAGGTCATTGGAGAATTATTATTTTTTTATTATAAAAAAAGTGCCCAGTGCAGGATTCGATCCCTGAACGTAGCGGTTATTTTATTATTATATTGAATGATATTAATAATGATTAAATATATTTATCATAATCTAAAAGGTTTCAAAATGTTTGTTATAAATTGTTGTTATTTTAGCAAATTTTGAATTTTTTTTTCAAGGCAGACGATACTTGGAATTTTGGCGCCATTTTCTTAATTGCATGCGCAGAAAATTATAAATTTCTAATTCTCTATTTTTAGCGATATATTCTCTCGTGTATATATTAAATAAATTTATAAGTTTATTATATTACTGAAGAAATATATTGAGATATTGATTTAAAAATATATATATATATGATAAATTTAAAATATTAATATACTTTTTTTAAGTTAAAAAAAGGGTAATATAATAACAGAAGAAATAATGTAATAGAGTTCAAGCTTTACTATTATTCAAAGAAAAAATAAATTTCTCGGCAGACAGACGACAATTTCAGTTTTGGCGCCTTTTTCTCCCAGAATATGTAAATGAGTTGTATATTTAATATCTTATGCAAACAACTCTGTAACAATTCCACGACAAATAGGTGTTGGAGAGATGATATTTTTTTCCTTAAAATTTATTTTACTAGATATGCGTGTGTTTATTTATGATGTTTTACATATGAAATATGTGTTACCAGGCTTTATAAATTTAATCTTAAATTCGTTGATATTTTTTATTTTTATAATCGAATTTTTTAGGAATTGATTTGGATTAAAACTTGTTTCGGGATAAAATTGAATGGACATATATTATTTTGAATCTATGTTTATTAATTATTGTTGTATATATATTTTAATTAATTAATTAATTGTTCCCACACAGAGAATATGTATATAAGATCACAAGTAAATAGGCGCTTACCGTAAGAAGATAAGTTTATCTTTGTTTACTATGTTATAAGTTTTTTTTTTGTTCTCTCTCTTGTAAATCAATAATCTTTGATTAATCTTCTTGGAATCAGTTTATTTAAAAGGTCTAAGCAAAGTTATTTATAGCTTTTAGTATTTTACAAATAATTGCTTATTTAACTATATTCTGCGTGTTTTTATGCGTATCTATAATAAAAATAATATTGACTATATAATAATTCTCAATATTAATACAGCCTGCCATTTCCTAGGGAATTATTGCATCATACATATAGCCGAAAATTCAAAGCATATCTAAACTAAAATACTAACCTTATTTACATATTTACTTTTATAAACAGATTTTGATTGGTGGAGGAGTAGTTTCAACCGTTGATTTTCAATAGCAACGACTCAGGTTCGAATCCCGCATTGAACACTATTTTTCTAAATAAAAATTTGCTTTAATGAACCCCGATTCTTGCAAAATTCCAACTCCATCAGGTAAGTGTAAGTAACAAAAAAAAAAAAGACTCTGGTACATTAGTAATTGAAAATTTTCAACTGTTTTCTACATGCATGTATACATGTGATACACTCACAGAAAAGTAGCCGCTAATTATCCGCCATGATTATCATGGCCTGTACCACTTGAATAAAAAAATACTTTTAAAATACGATGAATTTTACTTCTGTCAATACACACTGGGTTACACGTTGAATTAAACTACACTTCTTGACAAAACTTGTACCTTTTAACATGTATATCAGGATTGAGACAATAACTCTGAAAGATATTACAGTGAGCTTTATTGAAGACACACGAGATAACCAATATACACTCATGGACAAAACTTAAGGAAGTTGTACCTTTTAACATGTATATCAGGATTCATACAATGACTTTGAAAGATATTACAGTGACCTTTATTGAAGACACACGATATAACCAATATACACTCATGGACAAAACTTAAGGAAGTTGTACCTTTTAACATAAATATCAGGATTCATACAATGACTCTGTAAGATATTACAGTGACCTTTATTGGAGACACACGAGATAACCAATATACACTCATGGACAAAACTTGTACATTTTACTATGTATATCGGGATTCAGACAATAACTCTGAAAGATATTGCAGTGACCTTTATTGAAGACACACGAGATAACCAATATACACTCATGGACAAAACTCAAGGAAGTTGTACCTTTTAGCATGTATATCGGGATTCATACAATAACTCTGAAAGATATTACAGTGACCTTTATTGAAGACACACGAGATAACCAATATACACTCATGGACAAAACTCAAGGAAGTAGTACCTTTTAGCATGTATATCGGGATTAATACAATAACTCTGAAATATATTACAGTGACCTTTATTGAAGACACAACGATATAACCAAGTGTGAACAAAATTGACTCTATCGCAAAAAAAAAAAAAAAAGACGCCCG